GGTTTAGAAGGCAGTTTTTGAGTAAATATCAAATGTTTGAAGTGAATATTTTATTTTTTATTTATAGTAGTAGAATATTAAAGAAGAGGCTAAAAGTTCTGAAACTAGGCTATTTAGATATAAAATCTAGTGCTGAGCAAGTTTACTTAAGAGCACTTGCTCATTTAATTAATAAAAAGTTGAGAAAAATTGATTTTTGTGAAAAGATTTTTTGGTTAAATTTGGTATAAGTGATATACGGATTAAGTTCTCTCTAACTCGTATACGTACTAGTTAGTTCGTTGTAGTGATTGATAAAAATTAGATTCTCTAAAATATAATTTAGATTGAATTTTACATAATAATATTATTATCATTATGTTAACATTTATTTTCTTTATAATATTTACTGTAACTAATTTAATATACATTCATTCCTAGTTTTGTACAACTATGTTATGTAGCTACTTATTAAATAACTACATATTAATATTAACTTGACTAATTGTTAATAATTAATTATCAATTATTAATAATTTAGAACCTTAATTATTAATTATCTTATTAATAATAAATATATATTAAATAATATTTTTATAAATATTTATAAATTTTAGTATAGAATAAGCAATTCAAGTTTATAATAAAAATAATTCTTGATTTCTTATATAGACATCTAGTATATATACAAGTTCTTCTGATTAGTTGTATAGTAATTGTTTTTTTTTTTTTTTTTTTATATGAACACTAAATAATAGTTGAGAACACTAAAAGGTATTTACTATTCTCATGAGAATAGTATTTCAAGCTGAAATTTCTAATACTGCTCCAAAGTCAATTGTGAACTAGTTCACAGTTTTCAAAGTCAATTGTAAACTAGTTCATGGTCTTCAAAGTCAGTTATGAACTAGTTCACAGTCTGCAAAATTAATCATGAACTAGTTCACGATCTTTAAAGTCAATTGTGAACTAGTTCATAGTTCTCAAAGTCAATTATGAACTAGTTTACAGTCTTCAAAGTCAGTCATAAATTAGTTCATAGTCTTTAAAGTTAATTGTGAACTAGTTCATGGTCCTCAAAGTCAATCATGAACTAGTTTACAGTTAGAAATAGAAAGCATTCATATTTTATAATAATGCAATTAAGCCTAAATTATATATACATTAATTTTTATATCTAAAATTTGAGATTATAACTCTGTTGAGTAAAGTACTTTTAATTAACTGAGTAAAGTTATGTCAAAAATGCTAAGTATGATATAATAATTAACTGAGTAAAGTATTAATATTTTTTAAATAATACTGAGAATTTACCTTTCATTTTACATTAGGTGTGATTAGCTTATATATTGAATATTACCTGTTATACTATAATTAGTCATACTCTAGTGCCAAATAAAAAAAATTTGTTTCATAATATGTATTGAATAACAAATGCTAAACTTAATTTTTATTGGTTAATATAACATATATATATGGTTACATATAATAAAGACCTGCAATAACTTTAACTTTCAAAAAGTCTGTTATACAAATATTTGAGCATATTGCAAACTTGAATTGTTTAATTTAGTATATTGTATTTTGATCTTTAGTTTCTAGATTAACTATATTAATAAATAGATTAGTAACTTTAAAGTTTTCAGTGTATTAAGCTGATATCGATACAAAAGGAATTTACTAAATAAATAATTCTTGCTTGCCTAAATCCAAGTTTCTGTTTGTATTTTAAGCTAACTTGGCATCATAATAGAGAAAACTTCTCTAGGTTATAACTTCATATATATGTATATACTATAACTATATGTAATAATAATATATTGAGTAGTTGTGTATTTCTCAGATAGTGTTAACAGAAATATATAGCTGACTGCATAAGTAGCTAGTTATATATTTTCATTAATACTATCTGAGAAAAGTTCACTAATACCTAACTACTCAAGATATTATTACTTAATACTCTGATCTCTTATATGTCAAAAAATGTTATTAGCATATAATTTAAACTTTATATAAACAATAGATATTAAATTTAATTTAATAATTTAAACCTTTATCATTATATAAAATAACGTTAAATTTAATGATTCAAGTATTTTCTTTTCTCTGAATTATCAAAATTAAATATTCTTTTATAAATTCATTTAATCTTATTCAACTTATAGCGATCTATCTAATATTCAAAAGAAAAACTTCAATCATACAAAAAAAATGCAACACCTCAAAATATCCAAAATTACTAAACTATATTAATGATATTCAACAAAGATTAAATATCCATCACAGGCTTCTTTGTAAAAACTATTTGGTATTATATTAAAAAGGCATATATTTACTTTATATTTATTATTTATATTTGCAATATAATTTATACAGTATCTAATAGTAATAAAGTGAAAAAGAAGAAATAAAGGCGAAGTGAAGTTAATTATGAAAATACAAAAATTGACAAAAATTATGATAATAAAAACAAATACATTCGATTATCATTTACTCTTTATAATTATTCATTCTACAAGTAGCATATACAATAACAATTCACAAAATTTTCATTTTGATAGTTTAAATTTTAGTAATAGTAAAGGTATAATTTTTCTTAAGTTTAATAATTTAAAAACTTTAGTATACATTTTAAAAATACTATAATAGCTATCTAGGTTGTTATTTATAGTTAATATTCTGACTATGTTTAAAGACTATAATAATACTTTCATATTATATATGTACCTAAAGTAAAGAAACTGATGTATTTTACTTTATAATATACTGAGTTTAAAATATACTAATTAGTTGCAAATTTCCTTCTAATAAAAGTCATGTGAGAGAGTTGAACTAGGTATTATCTAAAAAATAATAATAATAGGATATAGTAAGTAAATAGGACTAATAGTAATGTTAGTAAAGATTATTATTATGTATATTATTAAATCATGTAGTAGTGAAAAGTATATATAGAACAAATATTTTTCTCAATAAAAGCTAACTCACAGAGTTTGAAAAAGTAAAACCTTCTGAGTCTTGAAAAGTCTTGTATAGAAATATTTGTCTTTAACTAAATTACCTTTTAAAAATTGTTATAAATTGCTACTCTAAATCCTTTGAATCATTTATCGTTGAATTCTTGTCCCTATGATATCTTTCTTGATTAGTACCTATTTGTTTGTAAAGTAAAAGAGCTCGAATTATTATATCGCATTGCTTTTATATAGTATTTTTAAATTGATTAAATAATTAATCAATTTCACAATTGCTAAATTGATCTACCAATAATTTGAAACCTAATTTAAAACCTAATTTATAATTCAATTGTAACCAAACTCTGTAACTTCTAACAAATATGACTAAGACAATTCATAGATCCAACTTCTATAACCAAAATATTCACTCAAGTAACCCTAACCTCGAACCAAGTTAATCCTCGCCTCTTTCAAGCCTTATCCAATATAAATTATCCTAGTTTATCTGTATAGATTAGTTAGGATTTAAACTTCTGTGTAACTCAACTTCTGGACAAGTTCTAGCCTAGAACTAATTCTCACTTTTTCATTGATCAAAATATAGTTTAAATATTTAATAAAAATAAATTTTTTTGGCAACTTTTTTTTTTATCTACAAAATTCATACTGATTGAAAAATGATATATGTTATTTTTCAATTAAAAAATGATATATGTCAATTTATAATAACGTACGCATAACAAATCTACTTAAAATATTTAATATAATATTGACAGATTTTATTATATTTAATGTGTAATATTAACATAAAGACAGCATCTTTATAAAAATTGTGAATATAAATCAATAGGACATTGATCATATTTTTTTTTAAAAAAAAAATAAGTTAATTAAGAAATTTTCTTTATAAAATTCTTTTACACGAAGAATCAATAGAAGTTCCAGTAGATATTAATATGCATGAACGAGATTTTTGCTTTATATATCAAGATAATATTAACCTAATACTTAAAGAGTCTGTAACACTATTAAGTTGCAAGTATATTTTCTACAAACTATGCATCGATCCTTGGATCTATTGTCCACAATGTGATTATCAAGAAAATTTGAATAGTAATAATTCTGATAATTCAGAAAAAATGAGCATTCAAATGTCTTGACAAGCTAGCTCCATTGATTTTATATTGAACTCTGAAGCTGATAATTCTATTACAACTTCATCCATTCCTGCACTTATATCTACCACTACTACTAATATCACATCTACATCTACTACTACTACTGCCACTGCACCAATATCTGTTACTACTACTGCTACAGCACTAATATCTGCTACTACTATTGCTACTGCACCAATATCTGCTACTACTATATCTTCTGTACCTACATCTACTACTACTACTGATATTACACCTACATCTACTACTACTGATATCACACCTGCACCTACATTTACCACTACTACTGCTACTATATCTCCTGCATCAATATCTGCTACTACTACTACTACTAATATCGCATTTGCACCTATATCTACTACTACTACTGCTACTGCTATAACATCTGCATCTACACCTACTGCTACCATGACTAGCAAAATGAGACATTTGATTAGAGAATTAAATACTCCTATCATAAGAAATAATAATAATACTAATAATAACATTGTTAATAATAATGATGATCCAATTTTAGTACAACTTTTTAATAATGTTTTACATATAGAAAAAAATGAAGCAAATACAAAACATGATGTAATTCAAAGCTAATATGATTTTTCGCAAGAGTTTGAGCATCAAGTACAGGAAAGATTAAAAATATATCAAACAAAAAAAAGTGCAACAAGCAAAGTATATAATAAGCTTATGAAGTATATTCCTATTATATATCTCACTTTAAGAAAAAGGGTTGAAAAAACCAACAAAGTTTACAAATTATTTAAGGGAGTTGATGTTGAAAAAATAGAAAGAATTAATGAAACTACTGCAAATAAAATTTCTACTTTCTCCTTAGAACAAATAGATTTAATTATTGCTAATATAACTAGTAATTAGTTATTTTCATATTTTATTAATAATGAATAAAAATTTTTCTTTGCTTATCATATTTCAGACAAGCTATGTATTTTTAAAATATTTACTATTATGAACAAATTACTATATTCTCATATTACTTAAAAAGAACTAGCACTTTTAAATGAATATATAATTGTTAAATTTCTTTAAATCCATATTATTACATTATACAATTATAACAATTTGAAATATATATATGGTTCTTCGCATAAATATTACACAATTTGAAATTATCATATTACACAATTGTCCTACATTACCAACCAAAAAATTTTGTATGACCAATTAAAATTTATTAATCATCCTAAATTTTTAAAATTTTCTAATCAAACTTATGTGATTTCTCTAGCATAACCACCAAAACTCTAGTTTAACAAAAAGTTTTTATTAAGCCATTTCTGCATTTTACTATATAATTCACCTGTATAAATTGTAATATATAATTTCTAACATAAGTGAGCTTTAAGCATTTTCAATCATCACAAAGCTCTAAAAACGATTTCATATTCAAATTGTAATTGTATTACATAATACCAAATTATATTTAATTATTGGTCGATCATTATATGCTTGAGTTTTTTGGTGTTTATACTGTAGTAATTCTAAACTAGGAACCCTAAAAAATTTCAAAAGGATCAATAAATCACAATTTTTACTAAATCTTGCTCTAAAAAATAGTTTTATGACTTTTTCATATATAGTAAGTTACATAATAAATCATATTGGCTAGCTATTTTAGTACACTAATCAAATTCGTATAAGTTTGTATAACTAATTAATCTATCAGTCAATTTTTACGACTTTTTTATAGCAATTTTAGTATACCAATTAAATTCGTATAAGTTTGTATCTTATTAATCTACTAGTATATAAAAAAATTTATATGCTATTATATTAACAATTTTAAAGGATAAATTTTAATATTTTAAAAACATAGTTAATTTGGTGTTGTAATGAACAAGCAACAAAGTAATTGGTGTTGTAACAAACAAGAACAAGTAAACATAATCAAGATAAAACTGCTAAACTAATGACGTCTTTTTGAAAAAAAAAAAGATTGTAAAAAGTAAGATATTATATTTGCTTAATTTGCTTTTTATTAAATATGATAGCTTGTTTTAAATACCACATCAAGCTACTGCTCTTACCCAAAACAATATTTGTATAATAGAACTACAATTTTTTAGAGTTCCTGATATATGTAATTATAAAATGCACATATTTTCTATCTCTAACTATGAACTAGTTTACGATTGACTTTGAGAACTGTGAACTAGCTCACAAATTGTGAACTAGTTTATGATTGACTTTGAAGACTATGAACTAGTTCACGATTGACTTTGAAGACCATAAACTAGTTTACGATTAACTTTGAAGACTGTGAACTAGTTTACAATTAACTTTGAGGATCATGAACTAGTTTATGATTGACTTTGAGGACCGTGAACTAGTTTACGATTGATTTTAAAGACCATGAACTAGTTCATAATTGACTTTGAGGACTGTAAACTAGTTCACGATTAACTTTGAGGACTGTGAACTAGTTCACAATTAACTTTGAAGACCGTGAACTAGTTTATGATTGACTTTGAAGATTGTGAACTAGTTCATGATTGACTTTGAAGACCATGAACTAGTTCATGATTGACTTTAAAGACCTTGAACAAGTTCATGATTGACTTTGAGGATTGTGAACTAGTTCACGATTGACTTTGAGGATTGCGAACTAGTTTATGATTGACTTTGAGGACTATGAACTAGTTCACAATTGACTTTGAGAACTGTAAACTAGTTTATAATTGACTTTGAGAACTGTGAACTAGTTCACGATTGACTTTGAGGACTGTGAACTAGTTCATGATTAACTTTGAAGACCGTGAACTAGTTCACAATTGATTTTGAAGACTATGAACTAGTTCACAATTGATTTTAAAAACTGTGAACTAGTTTATGATTGACTTTAAGGACTATAAACTAGTTCACGATTGACTTTGAGGACTGTGAACTAGTTCATAATTGACTTTGAAGCAGTGTTAGAAATTTTAGCTTAAAATACTATTCTTATGAGAACAGTAAAATACCTTTTAGTATTCTCAACTATTATTTGGTGTTCATATAAAAAAAAAAAAAAAAAATACAATTACTACACAACTAATCAGAAGAATTTGCATACATACTAATAGATATCTATATAAGAAATCAGGAATTATTTTTATTATAAACTTGAATTGCTTATTCTATACTAAAATTTATAAATATTTATAAAAATATTATTTACTGTATATTTATTCTAAATAAATATTAATAAGATAATTAATAATTAAGGCTCTAAATTATTAATAATTAATAATTAATTATTAATAATTAGTTAAGTTAACGTTAATATATAGTTACTTAATAAGTAGCTGCATAACACAGTTGTGCAAAACCAGGAACAGGTGTATATTAAATTAGTTACAGTAAATATTATAAAGAAAATAAATGTTAATATAATGATAATAACATTATTATGTAAAATTCAATCTAAATTATATTTTAGAGAATCTAATTCTTATAAATAACTCTCAAATTGGTAACTAGATAAGGCATTCGTAACCTCACAGCTACTTCCAATTTGGTGCAGTTTGAGTTGCCATGACAATAGTATTCTAAGATATGAACTCGCCCAAACGTAATGTTAGAGATAAGTTGTATGTACACCAATTTCTGTTTATAGGTACTTCTGTGTGTTGGTGTGGTCTAGGATATATTTTGCAATATAAGTTGCTTTTAACTATAGATTTCATAATACAGATATACTATTACTATATAATTGGTGTTTTGAAGAACTGGTGTACCTTTGTGTTTTGTGTTACTACTACTAGCCTGGTGTATTATACCATTTTGAGTTTTTACAAGCGTACCCTGAATTTTGATCTGCTCTCTACATTTGTAGTAGCCTTACTTGATTAGGAGAATTATAGTTACCCTTATCAGTATTCGTACAACTCCAGTTCCTTCCATAGCTCTTCACTGGTATTCACTTTAGATCTATCTAGATGTTCACAGGTTAGATCCTCTCAAATTCAGTTAGCCACTACACCAAGTTGGTATTGCCAATTAGTAGATCAGACTTACTTGCACCTAGCCTATTCTGCATCTTTCTAGAGTCTAAGTTTCATTCTGGATCAAGCGTTAACTGGCTTGACCATTGAAGGCTATACTACTTCACCTATTCATGATTTCTACTATGCAAGTCTCTCATGCCTGTATATTCTATCAAGATTTATTTGTGTAATATTACACCTCTCCAAACGCTTGTCACATTACTAATATCCGCTGATTTGGTATAACTTAACTTACAGGGTTATAACCTTCAGAAACGAGCAGGGTTTACTGTACTAATTAAGATTCAAGGTCTAGATATAATTCAAATTTCGTTGACAGTAGGATTTGAACCCTAGACCTCTGCATGGCAGTCTGGTAACCTAACCACTACACCAGATCTTTATATAATATAATTATTTATTATGCATTATCCTAATTGCATTTAGAAATTGTATACGTACTGGTTAGTTCGTTGTAGTGATTGATAAGAATTAGATTCTCTAAAATATAATTTAGATTGAATTTTACATAATA